CACTTGCCCTTGTAGGCCACAAAGCCCTTCCCAGGACACTGGGTTCCAGAGACCTGGGTGGGTCCCCAAAAGCTAGCGTTCCAAGACCTGGGGACAAAGCACCGATGGCGGAATCCACTGAGAAGAGTCTCAGCCCATGGGCGGGTGCCTGCCAGTCCTGTGTCCTGTCCCTGGGCCCAGCTGTCCTGGCGGAAGGGAGTGGCTGTCGATCCCCTCAAGGTCCTGGGACTCATGTGCTGATGGTGGAATTTCAGGCTGGAGGAATGAGGAGCAGATCTCATCGCTTTGTGTTCCAGACCCTGTGCACGTGGCCTGGCCTGCTGGAGGGATGCAGGGACAAATATACTAAAAGATTATTCATTGTTTATTTGAAATTCAAATTTAACTGGGCATCTGTATTTCATCTGGCAACCCCCCAAACAACTCTCTAGAAGCACACCTTGAGGCGTGCACGCTAAGTGGAGGAGTTTTAGGCACCAGAAGTGAGTCGGGCTCAAATCTAACCCCAGAGCAGACAGTGCTGGCTATCCCAGACTGGCCCTGGGCTGCAAGAACTCGGAAAAGGCTGCTCCTTCATCCCCCACTTCCCACCCTCCCAGCCACAGCCACAGTGAGGACTCTGGCGGAGGAGGGCCATCACCTCCCTGAAGTGGAACAACAGTGGCAGAGCTAGGCTCGGGGCCTGGGCTTGTCGGCTCTCTGAGGCCTGCTGTGGAAACAGACGCTCTCAGGGCAGCAGACGGTCCCTCCCCCTCGGGCTTCCCAGTAAGATGCTTCTTCTGACAGCCAGGTGTGCCAGCCTTGGGGGCAGGTCCCGGCTAAACTCAGGATTCCCCCTCCCAACCTGTGACTGCAACCTGTCAGGCTGGGAGCCTCCTGCCAGCCATTCCAAAGTCTGCACTTCTTTCCTGGGGCTGCGGAGCACAACAGATCCTCGAATAAAGTTATTGCCTTGAACCTAGTTCTGTTCCAATGATGAGATGCCGTAAGAATGTTTTTATTAATTAGCCTTTGGTAAAATGGGTTTCATTCCTTGTCATTTCGCCCGAGTTCCAAGAACCTACCGGTGATGTTAAGTAAGGACTCACTGTCCTGGAGCAGGGCCGGCCTCTTGGGAAATAAATTGAGGCTACGGGATCCTGGAATTCTGTGACTCTGGGCACCTCCCGAGGGCAGCAGTGGGAGGAGAGGGCTGAACTTGGGCCAAACTTGGGTACTCGATGGAGGCAGGAAAAATACTGTCCAGGTTCCTCTCTCACTGCCACCTGCTAGTGGGTGGCCTTGGCCCAGTCTCTGCTATTTTGGGTACCCAGTTTCCTTACCTATCACATGGGAGTGGCCCTGACAATAGCTGCTGCCTCCCTATGGGGTGGGGTCCCCACACAGGCCTCAGTGCCTGCTACTCCTCTGTGTTCTGATAAGTCCAAACACCCGATTTGGGTTTCTGTATAGAGAAACTGAGTCCCACTGCACAGTAGAGCAGTAGGTACCGGGTGGGGGGTTGTGAGCAGCCCAAGGGCTCCCAGAAGATGTTGGGGCTTTGAGTAGGGACCCCAGAGAGTGAGGGAGAGACCCATACAGCTCAGCATAGGGATGGGATCCACAGTATTGGGGCGGGGCTGAGACACTCAGATGAGCTCAGCTCAGTGGGGCAGGCTGGAAAGTGGTCCAGGGAACGCAGAAAGGGTTAGCCAGGCTCTGAGCAGCTCAACATAGGGCCGGGTCCAAAGAGAGATGTTGGTAACCTTGGGGGCCCAGCGTAGGGGTCTGCATAGGCACCCCTCCAACACCTTCCAGAGAGGGCGCGGGGACAGGAATTGGGAAATGCGCTAGCGCCCCCACAAGGGTCATTTTTT